CCCCGGGTAAAAGTATTTACAAACTCTTCAGGACATTTTCAGAATATAATCTAAAGGGAACGACCTCTTACCTCGAATGAAATAAAAGACAAGACCTAAAGTTTGCTTACCCGGGTGTGGTCGGCCTAAGCATGCTCCTAACGACCCGAATAATTAAAAGAGAAGTAACACGTGAATAACAAAATCTTTCTTAAGCTCAAATTCCTTTGCATTATTAACCAAATCCCAAAATCTGATTTTAAGCCAACAAATCTACGACCTAACTTACAAAATCTCTTAATCTATCACTTTTTCAATTCAAATCGGAGCCATCTTGCTATACCATGGTCTTTCAGAACCAAATCAATAAGAGACAAATTAACTTGTCCAAATGAAGATTGAAAATAGACTAAGGCACTAAAAGATATCAAGAAATTTAACTACAACATGATATGAGCCCATTTAATACTATTGACATACTTCAAGCCAACAAATATAAACAGACTATGGAATAATTGGCCTTTTTAAAACCAACCAATTTGTTAAGCCCCATTCACATAATGTGCCACTAATTCAATGATCTGATTCAGAAGATGGTCTTAATTGAAAATCTTGCATCAAACGAGAGTTTAACAAATGAAGGAATTTAACCACATCCTAGACAAAGAATTAGACATATAAAAGCAGTCATGATACATTCATCTTCGCCAAAAGTGTTTGCAAGCATCATATAAGGAAAATTAAAAGGCAGAGTAAGAAATAAGCCTCAAATTGAACTCTGAAATTTATGGAAACAACTGCACTGACCAGGAGCTGTGAACGAGAACTTCAAACCGACCGAAAATGAGAAACTCGAACCTCAAGCAGGCCGAATTTTCAACTGCTACAACTATTCGGATTTTTGTTTCTCTCTCTCTCTATTCTCTCGTCTATGTGGTTGTGTGTATATTTGATAATGGAGAGCAAAAATTTAAAAATGGGTATTGTCTCTATAATCAAGTGGTGGAGATCTGGTGTTTAATGATGATGAAAAATAATTTAGCTATGGTGAAAAATTGAACTTCCTAACAGTAAGATCCATGGATGAATTCAGTGATTGTATTGAGGAAGAAGGTGAAGTTTTTTATGGTTTTCTAATCTCCTCCCCTGTTTTTGTCTCTGTGTTCTATCATTGTGTCTTCAGTTGCCTAGGGTCTTTAGGGTTAGAAAAGGTTATAATTAGGATTTTAAATAGGTGTGGGAAAATAATAAGGGCCATTAGATTAAAAAAATGAAGGGGTAGGGTTGAAAGAGGTGTTGGACGGGTCAGCAGGTCTAGTGGGCTAATGGAATTTGGTTGGCCGATTTTGGACCTCTTTTGTCCTAGAGCAAGATAAAATAATGAGCCTAAACTATTAAAATGCGACCAAAATATTAATTAGTCCTATGTAAGTAGAGTAAACTATTAAAATAAAACTAAACACTAAAAAAAATTTATTTATGGTATTTTTCAAATATCATACTAAAAATAAAAATAGAAGTAGGTTAAAATCATAGTGAAATTAAAATAATACCACTTCCAAAAAGAAAACTAAGGACATTAAATAAATATATGTGTAAAAATGAGAAATATTATAAAGATGAAACTATTTTTTGTAGTTTTCAAGTTTTATACTTTAAAACTAGAATTAAAATTAATAATAGAGTGAAATCCTATAGAAATAAACTCAAATAAATATTCTAAAAATACTAAGACTACTAAAGATAATCCTAATGTGCGGGTCAAAAATTACGTGCTTACAATCTGAAGTGAATGTGTTACATATTTAATGGATATAACTTATATTCACAAATAATGGCCTTTTTCGTGGCCACTATTTAAATTTTGTCTCCATTAGCTTAATGAACAATATTTCTTTGCAAATAATAAATAAGTAAATCATCTAACTACTTTTAAAGGAGAAATTTACCTCATTGGTTAAATAAGAACAAAATTGAAAGATTGGCCTTAAAAAGGTCATATGGTGCAATAATCCTATTAGATCCGTAGAAAATAGAAATGATATCAGGGTGTCATTTTAGAAGGTTGCTATTTAAAAAATTAGCCACTGTATTCTGAATTTCAATTTTTCAGGATATAAAATCCTGAATTTAAGTTTTTTAGTTCAAATTTTCAGGACAAAATAAATACTGGCTAATCTCTAAATACCAACCCTAAAAATGGCTATTTGCGTACTTGGCCCAAGAGTAGGACCAATTGTAGCAAAAACAGAGTGACCCGTGACTAGTCCGGCTCCTAATGTGCTAGATCCGACCAGGAACATCCCCACATAACCATAGCCCGTGATTTTAATTAATTGGATGTGGGGAGTGCACTATTAGTGGGCGAATGGGAACAAATGCACATAATCGAAGGAAAAAATAATTTTTAAAACTTATTGTCTAAAATACTCATAGCTTATGTGGCAATAAATAATTTGATTAAGATAAAATAAAAAGTTTAAAATTAACTTAAATTTAAATAATAAAAGGTAACATTATTTTTAAAATATATTAAAAAGAAAAGCTTGTCAAATAAAATAGGACAAAGTAAGTATATTTTATATTTTTATGTTATTATATTATTAATTAGGTGAAAATGAGTCACGGGACGAATAGTGGCAAGCAAAATCCGACAAAGGAATCCTCAACTCGTCACGCATGTGTACACCACAAATACCACTAACCCTTGGCCAGCTAAAGAAAGTTTTTTTCCCCCTCTTTTTGGTTAATTGTTATATTATTACTCCTAATTACAGACACCAAAAAGAAAAAGTAGTTATGTTGTTACATATTTTCTCATTAGAGGTTTAAAAAGAAGAACCACCCAATGCACGAAACATTATGCAGTTAGATCTTGAGATTTAACAATGATTTCAACTAACTTAGAAACAACTTGGATCAACTCGAATATGCTGACAACCATTTATTTACAAATGCTGAATCTATATTAAGAATAAGCTCTCTAATTCTGAAAATCATAATCCGAGTAAAACTTTTACCATTTTAAAGATAATTAATTGTAGAAGTGGAGTTGAGCTAAGAAAAGAAGGTGCCAAAATGCCCAAAAACCATTATCCTTGCCTGTTATGGGTGGACATAACTTAGTGGTATGGTGCTACGAAATTGAGTGATGCAGAGAATGAGAGGTGGAGTTCAATGAGCATGAGGTCACCTACTTTATCACTTAAGAAAAATGGCATTTCTTTCCCCAAAATTCCATGTATTAATTTCCTCGAGAGCGTTCAAACTTGAAAGAAGTAAAAAGTTTCCTGACAAAGGGTGTTAAGTATATATTATATACGTCTAAAACTTAATATTTTATCTATATACGCAATATAATTTTTCGACGAATGACCACCCTTTAAGACTTATAGCTTCGCCCTGCCGTGTACCCATTAGCTTTAGATTTTCAAGCAACGAGGGGAATAAAAGCAAAAACAAAGGAAAGCATGAAAATAAATAGTCTTTGGATCATATTAATTCTTTGTTTCTCAACTTAAAATAAATAGTCTTGGGATCATATTAAACTTTATAAACTTAACTAGACAAGCTAATTAATGTGTATCGTTTTTGGAGAACAAACAGGGCTAGCTCTTTTAATCCTTGAACTAAGCCTCTTGAGGAATCCTACTCTAGGTCTTCAACTAGTAATGAAATTACTAGATGCCAAAACAAGTAAAAGAAAAGAAAGCAAAGAATTACCCAAATGGTTTGTTGGAAAAATATTGCTTCAAATTTGGAATACCGTTGTGTAGTAACGAAACTACCAGCACCTAGACGTCAACTTTCACAAATATTAATCGGTTTACGTGTTGTTTACTCACACTCCGGTGTTTATATCAATTCATTTAATATATGAATGCAAAATTATTATCCGAGCGATATTATGTTTAATTATGTGACTATCTCATATAAGTTTTTTTATATGTTATAAAGAATACATTCTTATTATTTAGTGATATATCTTCAACATTAACATGGCGGTTCTAGAAACGGGTTAGTACGTACAGTCCAAAATGGCCATATCTTGCTTTATTTCATTATATTATACTCTTGATTTGTTTATGGCCTTACCCAATTTAACTAACTTACATCATATTTAACTACCAAAGTTATACATTATTCCAAAGGGGCAACATTCTATATTATTTAACAATAATGCAAATCAAGTCATTGTCTAAGGAAGGTAAAAAAACAGGTTGACCAACAAGGTTGAGGTCAAATAATAAGTACTCATTTATTTTTAATCATATGTCTTTGCCATAAATAAAATCACATTTGTTAGGAAGCGTTTTACCTCAATGTAGTATTTTTCATTACCTCAATGTGGGAAACAAAAAAAGGAACAGGGTGGAGGAATTGAAAAAAGTCACCAGTCCAAAAATCTTTGATATTCAGCAAATATTAATTAGTTCAACTTCTCGCCCACTCTCAACTCCCCCCTCTCTCTCTCTCTCTCTCTTTCTTAATAGTATTCCCTTTCAATTTATATTGTATATTAAATTTTAAGGATGATAATATGAATTTTGAAATTTGTGGACTTAAATATGTCGTATTATTTATGTGATTATAATTATTTTAAAATTTGTGATTTTATAGTCAGACCTCTCTTCATCTCTTATATAACAACAATTCACCATAAAAATTAAAATTTTTTCGAAATCGATTTTTATGTTATGTTATACAGTTATAGTATATATCATCTATAACAATACTAGCAAAAAAGTATCAGAACAAACGAGCTTTGTTATAGAAATGTGAATTATAAATAAGCAGTAACATTTGTGTCACTATAAAAGAGTGTAATTAAAGATAAAATGAGAATTTCAAATTAAATTGTTTTCAAATTTATCGCTAACATTTTTTTGAACTGAGAAAGTATTTTAGTTTTACATAATTTATATATTTTAACTTGTTATAACAAATAGCAAATAATTTATCTTATTTTATAAATTACGAAACATATTTTTTTACGACAATTACTTGTAATTATCTTTTGAATAAAGTGTGACTTGGTGTTAAAAGTTTTATATATATGCTGACAAATCAGTGAAGCATAACTGACATAACAATGGAGTTTCCAATTATCACTCTCAGAAACATTCCTGTAAAGTCTCTCTCTTCCCATTTTCCTTTCTTTCCCTTTTATTTCCCCTTTCCTTTTTTTCTCATTTTGTTAAATTTCTTCTTATAGGCAATTCACAGGATTTTACTACTAGCCGTAGTGATTCTAACGGCGTTAGGCAACGTTCACGGCCGTCATAAAGTACACAAATGGGAAACAATAGAGTACTCCGCCATAAGTTGCAGAGCACACACCGCTTGGTTGACGGATTTTGGTGGAGTTGGTGACGGAACGACGTTGAACACTAATGCTTTTAAAACTGCCGTTGATCACTTGAGTCAGTTTCAATCAGACGGTGGTTCGCTGCTGTATGTACCCGCCGGAAAATGGTTGACGGGGAGTTTTAATTTGACTAGCCATTTTACTCTGTATTTCGACAAAGATGCCGTTCTTCTCGCCTCTGAGGTAACGTTTTGTTCTTAGCCAATTCCTCTTTTTTATGGAATCGGTTATCAACTCTTGAATGCATGAATTAATGTGCTTCACCAATATATAATTCTACAGGCATTTTAGTATTTTTTTTGTTTATAATAGTATCCGTACTCTCAGAGGATTCAGGATTTAAAAATTTAACGAGCTCAACCTTTAAAATTTTTAGTGTGAATTCATTGTAAATCTAATATTCGTTGAGATTTTAATAGGTTCTTACATATAAATTTTGTACTCCATATTAAAAATTATGTGTTCAATTAAACTCATAGCCGAAAGACTATTCATGTTCGTCCTAAAAAGAACAATATTACAATATTGATTTGAAAAATTGATTTGCGTGTTAGATAAGAGGAACCATTTTGTATGCGAAACGTATTAGTCAAGACTAAATCATATGTGCACCGTGTAGGTTTGATTAAATGGGAAAACACTATATATGAATTTTTTTTATTTTCAGACCTCAAATAGGAGACCTTTTAGAATAATAAAGGAATCTAATCATCCCATAACACCGCTTTGATTGTGACATTGGCTAAAATGTAACACTAGTTTAGTGGTGAGAATGTATTTTTAGAGGCGCCGCACCAGCTTCATGTGACCTTCTATTATTTTAGTGATAATCCTTTGGGGCAGGGGCGGATTTATAATCAAATATATTGGGCACGTGAACTCATGATCTTTCTGTCCAACTACGTATTTTATACACATATTTTAGAATTGGTTGAGTATTATCTGTTGGCACCTATGCTCCAAAAAAGCTAAATGATGCACTTGATTGAATGTTGAGTTACTTACCTAGGGATCAAATTTCACTTAATACTTTCTTTTTTTCCTTTTTTTTTTTGTGATGCACCCATGTTATAAAAATCCTAATCGGGGACATAGGATAGTTCAGTATTAAATACAACTAGGTGTTAAAATAAGCCTCTTATGAGTTAATATTTGTACTATATCTTATTTTCCAGTCCGTGAATGCAATCGGCTGAGAATAGTACAAAAGGCGCACCATGCGGTGAGAATATCGTTCGGCTAATGAGTCCAAATCCATGATAACATTAATTCAAGAATTGTACGTTCTCCAGAATTTTAATTTTATTTATTTTAGGAAAAATAATATTGCATAGCTGTTTTTAAAATAGTAATAGAAAAATATCTATTTTTTGTATATATATANACTTTAAATTTGACTCTTTATTAGAAGCTTTTATAGCTACATAAATATTATGGTATGTTTAAGATTATAAATTTTAGAAGTCTTAATTTTCTTTATTAAACTCGATATCTAGTCAAACTAAGTCACATTAAATACTAATTTTGAAGAGCGAGGTTAATTCTTATAATCTTATCCGATTATGCCTCCTTTGTGATATCCCTAGCAAGTAGCTAGAGGAAAACAAACGTAATATTAAATGCCTCGTACTGATAATCTAGGATGTGGGCAACAACTAAGCCGAGGATATTGTTTGTATTTTCAGAATTATTCATCACGTGAACTAAATTTTGTCCATTTTCTATAACTTGGGGATCACATTCAAAGCTACCATATGTGGTCTTTCGGAGCATGCTGGTAGCATCTGGGGAAGGTCCAAAAGCAGTGACAAAACTAGAAAATTCAATAAGGATTTTTTAAAATCAATAATAAGTAAGATTTTATTCTATATGCAGTATAATTTTTCGACAAAGTATGTTCAGTTGACCATACAACCACACATAACTTCACCCTTGTCCAAGAGAACCTCATGCTTTGTTGCTCTTGCCCAAGTTTTAGTGAGTAAAATTGCTCGATAACTGTATTGACCGGAGGTAATGAATACCCAGTGAAATAATCGAGATACACACAAGCTAACCTGAACAACACGCAAAAGAATAAACATGAACCAGCTTCAAATTTGGAAAAAAAGCTCACTATTCTAATTTTATCTGGTTTAAAATTTCAGTTACCACAGTGACACTCAAAAAACATTTCGTGTCTCAGAACAAAAGGTTTTCAATGGAAATTTTGTGCTTTTTTCTCTTCCAATTCTGCTATCTCACTGATTTCCTGTTCTTCCTTCCGCTTAGGATGAAAATGATTATCCGGTGATTGCACCGCTGCCATCCTACGGTCGAGGAAGGGATAATGACGGAGGTAGATTCATTAGTCTTATTTTTGGAGCCAACCTCACCGATGTTGTCATCACAGGTACTCTCATTTTATATCACTGTTACATTTCTCATATCGAAAATCTATAATATATGAATTCACATCGAAAATTCGTAGCTGGAACTCTTAATCCGGCTACTTTTTTGGTGGTGAGGGTATTGTCCATTGCCATTTTAAGAGCGGAATATTTCTTTTGTTGTCATTTTGTTTGCTAAATCGTGTAATTTTACTTTGAAATTCACTCAGGGGAAAATGGAACAATTGATGGTCAAGGGCAGCTATGGTGGGACAAATTCCACAAAAAAGAACTACAATATACAAGGCCATATCTGATAGAAATTATGTACTCTGATAACATTCAAATCTCGAGTCTTACATTGGTTAATTCTCCTTCATGGAATGTCCATCCTGTATATTGCAGGTAATCAAATTAATCTTGATCTCCAGTAGTTCAATATTGTTATCTTCTAGATCAATAATAATTAACGCAAAAAACTCGATTTCTTTGTGAAATGCAGCAATATTATTATCCAAGGCATCACTATCCTTGCACCAGTCAGATCTCCAAATACTGATGGGATTAACCCTGGTAATCTTGCATTATTGTTTACTAATATATTAAATTGTTTGAGTGATATTAAGGTTTCATGTAACAGGCAACCTGCCTCATTTTCCAGGTTACTAATCATACTTTTTATGATGGTTACCTGTAGCTAGCCACTCCGGCATTTTGGTTACTCTTAAGTTTTTGACTAAAAATAAGTCTCACTTGCAGATTCTTGCATAAATACTCGAATAGAAGACTGTTACATTGTCTCTGGAGATGATTGTATTGCTGTTAAGAGTGGCTGGGACGAGTATGGAGTTGCATTTGGGATGCCAACAAAGCAGCTCGCTATAAGGCGAATCACCTGCATTTCTCCAACCAGTGCTACAATTGCATTAGGCAGTGAAATGTCTGGAGGAATTCAGGATGTAAGAGCAGAGGACATAGTAGCAATCGATACAGAATCAGGGGTTCGAATCAAGACTGCAGTAGGACGAGGTGGATACGTAAAGGATATATATGTTAAAGGTGTGACAATGAAAACCATGAAATATGTATTCTGGATGACAGGAGATTATGGTTCTCACCCTGATAACAATTATGATCCGAATGCATTGCCTGTGATCGACAACATCAATTACCGCGATATGGTTGCTGAGAATGTGACCATTGCTGCTAAGCTTTCAGGAATTTCTGGTGATCCATTCACTGGAATTTGCATATCAAATGTCACGATTGAGTTGGCGCCTAAAGCAAAGAAACTGGCTTGGAATTGTACAGATATTTCGGGGATTTCAAGTGGTGTGGTTCCTCAGCCTTGTGAGTTGTTGCCAGATCAGGGAACAGAGAACGTTGCGCCCTGTAATTTCCCAACAGAGAACTTACCAATTGATGAAATGAAAGTTCAGACGTGTTACTGCAGGAAGAAAATATATTAACACATCAAGGCATAGAAGGATGATCATATTATAATCAGTCAAATCATTCTGTTGCTTACACCTCTTAACTGTGGATGATATACACTAGCCATGCGAATATCTGTAACTTTTACATATTTTTAAATGCTACTATCAGTTATTGCAGCCAAAATTTCAAGGACAAATCATAGCAAGAAGATTGTTGGTGAATACGTGTTGAATCATTATTAAGCTCTTTTAGTGTTTTACAAGAACTGTAGTCATTGAACAGAACCAAGATACAATGTTTAGATTCTTGGCCTTCGCAAACACCAGCACTCCTGATAAATATCTCACATTGAAGTACAGAAATCATGATATCAGTTTTAAGTCAGCTCTCTCCTCCCGCTAAACATAACTTACAAAATGTATTGAATTGCAAGAAAAATACTTCCTACATATGATACACAATCCAGGACAACCCGTCATATTTTTAGTTCAACAAAGTCTGGGTAGAACTTCACGGACTCCTTCCAAATCAGTTCCTTGATATTTTCTTCAGAAATTGAGGGCTGCTCAAAATCAAAACTGAAAGGCCTGGGACAAATCGGCTCATCGTTGATGTCATGAAGAGATGACAAAAATGGGTGACAAAGAGCCTCATCAACTGCACGTAGAGAAAGAAAATCGAACATACACGAGGTAAACAGGATGGACTAAAAACGGAAATTAAATCATGCAAAGGTTGAGGTCAGAATATTCGGTGCTTTACCTGTAATCCGTCGGGTTGGGTCAAAGACAAGCATCTTTTCAAGTAAATCAATAGCCAAAGGTGACATGTTGGGAAATCTTGCAGAAAATTGTTGCTTAGGATATTGAGGAAGCTCTCGGACATATCTTCGGGCATTATCACTTCTCAGAAATCTAAGGCTGGCATCATCAGGAGAACCTAGTAGCTTCAAGAGAGAAGAAACATGATAGAAGCTGGGAACAGTAAGCTGATCAAACTGCTTCAGAACCAGATAAAAAGTCCCATATATTTTTCTTGAACCCGTTGTGAAAATATGAAATGATTTACTTATTCAATGAACATTTGAAAGAATTATCTGCATGAAATTACAGCATAGTGCTGGCTATGGCAGTGGAAATCACTCTCAACTCCCAACTTCAGAGAAAGGGAATGCTTAAAGACTAGTTTCAACTTAAAAAGGAGGGAAATGAAAAAGAAAAGAGGAGGTTATTTCAGGTAAACTGCGGATCAACTTCTTTACACCTTCAAATAAACTTTTTTTTCTTAATCAGGTTTGCTAAAGGACTTTGAAAATGTATTGCAAACCATGAAAGAGCCAGACATGACTTTTTACCTCAGTAATGAGTCTCAGCTGATGTACATAATCTTTTCCGGGAAACAAAGGTTCTCTTGTCATTATTTCACCGAGAATACAACCAACCGACCAAACATCAATTGCGGCCGTGTATTCCGAACAGTTAAGGAGCAGTTCAGGTGCCCGATACCAGCGAGTGACAACATATTCAGTCATGAAATCTGTCTCAGAAGTTGTCCTCGCCAAACCAAAGTCACCAATCTTGAGGTCGCAATTTGCATTTAGGAGCAAATTGCTTGGCTTAAGATCACGATGTAAGACATTTGCTGAGTGTACATATTTCAGTCCACGTAATAGCTGATACATGAAGTACTGCAAAATTAAGTCAAACGTTATCCAACTATTAAAACCCAGGTAAGGTACCAGCAATATGCCAGCATTACTTTAGGAAAGAAAGAGGTATATCAAATGCTCACAGTGAAAGCTAGAGCAACTTCCAGGCATTCCTCCATGTTATTAAGAGAAAATACTGTATAACCTAAAAATCTAGCTTAGCATGCCAGAGTAAGGCCAGGACTACAACGACAAGATTCATAAAATTGTTGGGAGAAGGAACAGTCATTGTCGTGCCTCTGTATCTATTAATGGAGTTATAGACATCTAATTATAATTTGAGAGATAAGAGGAAAGCCCTCTCTCGAATTCAAAGATGTAACACAAATAATGACTCTCTTCGCCGGGATGGCTCCTAGTATTGGTGAACGATCTCCTCTACACGTTATCTTTGGGCGTTTTACTCTCTTGTAAAGAGATGACTATTCAAACCTCTGAGTATTCAAATGCACGTGCTTTGTTTAAATTCCATCTTCTGCACAAAACAAACTGAGCCCTACATCTCACTCTTATGTGTTTTCTTGAGTGAGGTTGGGGTACCCTAATGCTTCCTAGAAATGATTATCAGTAACTGTCACCTCCAAGTATCTGATGAATAATAGTAATCCAATTCATATTTTATTTTACAGCACAGAATAACAACTGTGTTGAAGTCACGGTATAAGTACAAATGGAAGAAAAGATGGAAAGAGTAGCTTATACCAGACAGAGAACCAAGTAAAAAGAGAAAGGAATTATTCAACTTACACATCATATCACATTAAAGAATGGCCATCGATTCTGCATTAACAAAGCCAATACTTAAGGTAGAGCTCACGCTCTACTTAGACAACAATGTTTTCAGCAAAATAAGACTTATTTTAATCTACTATTTCCTTCCTTAAACAGAATATTACACACACTATTCCCTCAAACAGGACACACACGGACATAAGATTTTCTCAAGTTGATTAACTAGGAAATCATGTTAAAACAGCAGCCAGACTTGCAGAAGTACTATATGCATAGTTTGTTTCTAAATCTGACAATTAGCTTCAGACATGTCAACTATACCTCAATTTAGAACTGCCTCAATTTCAGATTAGCTTAGGACTTCGGCGTCGACTATTTGAAGAATCAAAGTAGAATATAATATTAAGCATTTTTAGCCAAATCATTGATATCTAATAACAGCATTTTCAAGGAAGAGAAAAACCTGACAGTGATCATTTGTCAAAGGTTGTTCAGACCGAATAATCTGATGAAGATCAGTATCCATTAGTTCATAAATTATGTACACATCATTGAAAGCCTCTTTCTTTGGCGGCCTTATAATGTCTTTGATTGCAATAATCTGAAAAATTTTAACAAAAAATTAAAGCACTCAAAAATGAAGCAACAAATCAAATTCATTCACGTACTAATCACCGGATAGGAGGAATCCTCTTACATTTTCGTGATCCATGTGCCGAAGTAGCTTAATTTCTCTCAATGTCCTCTTCGCATCAATTCTATTATCAAATGCATTTCCTATTTTCTTAATCGCAACTTCCTCACATGTCTCTGAATTTATAGCAGCACTAACAAATAGCAAAGAATAAGAAGCAGTTTTTCCATCATATCCCCCAAACATGGCAAAAATAAGCAAGAAATCAGTACAAGGAGATTCGAGTGAAAACATAATTAAGTAAATAAAAATATCTTCTTTTACAGCTTAAACTTTTAGACAAACAGTTCTTACGACAAAAATAATCTGTCGTACACATAAAGAGCATGTAAAAACTCATTTTATGTGACACACTTCTTTTTTTTTTAGTTTGTCTCAAAGGAATAACACATTTCTATGTTTAGAAACAAAACTTTGAACTTCCCAATTTACCTTAATGAGATGATTCATAGTCACACAAATGTGATGACTTTTTACCCTACAAGTTCCAAAAGTTTTTCTTTCTTTCTTAAACGCCATGCCAAGTCAAACACTGTCATAAATGGGACTGAGGGATATGGTCTCTATAACGGTTTAAACTTTTTGACAAACAGTTCACAAATTTGACATTCAAAACATTTCCACACACTATGACAAAAGTAAGCTGTCCTTCACATAAAGAGCATATGAAAAACGTAATTAAGTAAATAAGAATGTATTGTATCAAAAAATTTAAACTTTTAAACGAGATTACCATACGAGGCCGTAAGCTCCGCGGCCGATGGGACGAATAGGAGGAACGTATTTGCTGGAGACTTCAAATAAGTTACCGTACACATTGTAACGGACGTATTTACCGCCGTGTATGAGCACTCCTCTGATTTCACGACTACTGCCAGCGCTTGAAGCTCCGCCAGTTTGATTAGCCATGACGACGGCGTCGCGACGGATGATAATGGTACTGGTGGTGCAAGCAGACGGCGGTGGAGGAAGTCGCCGGTATAACGGCGTTTGATGGAGGCTCGTCGGTGATGTATATATGGTGGTGAAATTAATTTTTTGGATTTAAGCCATTGGAATATTCGAAACAGTAAACACGGCTTTGAATATCCGTGAGCTGAGTAGACTTCAGTCTTCACTATGGGGAAATGCGAATATAATACTCTCCCCATGCCATTTATGTCGCGATTTTTAATTCGACATAGAATTTAAAATATTAGTAAAATTTATGATCTTAAACATAAAAATATCTTATTCTTTTTGTGACAAAATAAAAAGAAAAAATTAATAGGATGAGTGGTATATATATTAGGAAATCTTTTTCTTCAAAAATTATTTGGTAATTATTTTCTATTTTAAATGACTTTCTTAATGTTTTCCTCTTATTGTGAGGAATATTTTTATTTTCTAATTTGAAAGTGATTTATTCCAGTCCAAATCCTTATATTCGGAAGATAATCCAGTAGTCAAGATGTCAAGATCAATCTAGTTGAGCTTCTCTCCTTCTCTACTAACTCTATTGAAAAATGTTTGAATCTTTTATTAAAATTTGTGCAACTCATCCTGTTTTTTAAATAAATTTGTATTAAAGAAGTCTGTACATAGATATTTAATCAGATAAAAGTAGTTGAAAATGAATATAAATAAGAATGATTCTTTGGTCAACCTGTTGGAAGTCCTATTCCAAGAACCAACTTGTCGTTTAAAATGATCTTATCCACCTACTGCTAAGTTTTTCAAAGGATTTTTTTCTCTCTCAATAGATTAATTAGACTGGTATTTGATAGTAATTGTTTTCAAGTGTAGAATCAGCTTGTGTATTTAAGTAAGCAACCAACAAATGAAAATGAACCATTTAACACAAACTATGATATTATTAATTAATTTTAGACTAAGCGCATTGCGCGTGAACTCATGAACAAAAAATTTTTGAAAGTCACACAAATATTATTAAATTATGTGATTACCTAATAAAATAATTTTTTTTAAAAACACAAACTCTTGAAAATGATGAATATTTTTCCTATTTAACTCACTTAATAAAGAAAAACAATATGCCACACAAAAATACTGCGATGCCTTTATCATAATTTTAATATATGAATTGTGC